CCCAAAACCCCAAAACCCCAAAACCCCAAAACCCCTTGTTTCAAAGAGCAATTTGAATTCCAAGAATATAGATTTATAAAGTCTTCTCTCCTGACATAAGCTCTTCAAGAGTAATATTGTGCTCTTTCATCTTCCTAGCTGCTACAATAATTGCATTAGCTATTCTAGTCAATTTCTTCTTCTTGTCAGACATATTCGGAAGAATATCAAATTGAACAATTCGTTTCTTAAAAAGTTTAGCGACCAGCTTTTCTTGTCTTTTCTTCTGCTCCTTAGAATGAGTAGTGGTCACTTCCTGGGCCATCTTCTCAACATGATCTTTAACATCACTCATCATAAGCCTCTTCATATTAAATTGGTTCCATTTCCAGTTTGTTCCAGGGTAATACTGAATCGAAGGTAGTTCTGCAGAGTTTACATCATAGCTTTCAGGATCAATAACTTCTTTATTAACAATTGTAAAGTGATCATTGAGCCATTCAACATCGAATTCATGCTCTCCTTTCGGCTGTACCATTGAACTACTCTGGTTTCCAACTGCTTTAGATTCTCTCGGATCCATAGCATTTGAAGCAACTAACTTTCCCAATTCCTTCTGCAATGCAATATAATTCGCTTTTGACCTCACTAGATCCTCTTTCTCCTTCTTCAGCTCCTTAATATCCTCTAAAAATCCCCCAAACACCCTTACCTCGATCCTGCAGAGTCGGCTCATAACTACTATTCCCTAAAAACTCACTCTCCTCCCTTACTACTCTCCTGACTATTCCCCTTCCTCGAGATAATCCTCTGCTTAATCCTCTTCTCCCTCTCATCCTTCCTCACTTCAAGTAAGGTAATCCTAACCTTCTCATCTTCCAATTCCTTAACCAACTTCTTTTTAACAACTTTCCTCTGCACTCACTCCTGCCGCACTTCTTCCAGCAACTTCTGTTGCTGCTGCAGCAGCGTGGCTGCGGTCAGAGGCCAGGTTGGAGGAGGAGGGGTGGAGGAGGGAGGGCTAAAGGTAATAGGGTGGTTACTTTGGAGCAGTGGGGGGCTGGGGGTGTCTGTGGGGAAGGACTTTTTGTTTGAGGATTTGGAGTTTGGAGAGGAGGTGATTGGTGGTGGTGGTGGGGTGGGGGAAGGATTTTGAGATCTGGAGGGGTGAGGGGGAAGAGGGGTACCTGAGAGGTTTGATTTGTTCTTGATTTAGGAGTTGATTTTGGGTTGGAATTTTTTGTGGCATTTGGGTTGTTTAAAGGATCTATTGCTTGTCCATTTAGCTTAAGATTATGCGATTTTTCAGCCTCTTGTGTTGTCTTAGGTCGATTAATTCTTGACACGTTCCTTCCTTCTGACCTTACACGGGGATCACCTTTCTCACCATCTCTGTTCTTAAAAATAATCTTTTTCTTATTCTTAATTGCCTTCTGATTGATCTTAGAATTTCTTCCGTTAGGAATTCTAGCATTATCCTGAAAGTTTTGAGTTACTCCTGAATTCGCTAATTGACTTTCCTGTAAATTTTGACTAAAAGTAGCTGTAAAACGTACCTAAACTGTTTATTTTAGCACATATCTCCCTATAATCTTCTGTTGCTTCTGGTAAGGAGATTCATAAACTTTCCTCTTAAGTTGATACGACTTGTTCTGGTAGGACAGCACAGGGTTGAACTTATCAATAGACCGGCCTAATAAATCACCAGGTCAAAACTTACCACTGGGTACGTTACTCCTTTGCTTAAATTTTTTGGTAAAATTCCGATTCAACGAACTTGAGGTTCTTATCTGTGATTCCAAGTTAACCTGATTCTGGGCTGCTTCCACATTAATCAAATAAACTCTGCTGACAGCTTCAGGGATGCTCATTTCGTTATATTTATTTTTCTGCTTACTGAACCTGGAAAACTGTTGGGCATCTTCACTCTGGTTATGACTCAGCTTCGATCTCTTCGAATTTGTCTGATCCATTCTTAAATTTGAATAACTTCTTCCTCCGGATGTTTTCTTCGTGAATTTATTAGGTTCATACACTTTGATTTTCTTAAATTTCTTTGAAGGCATTTTCAATGTGAGCGTACTTTTAGAATACTAGATTTGATGTTATTTCATGGTTATATGGTAAAACTAGAAAGGTGTACTTTACCTGTCTATCCATCTGGTGGCCCTTGAAATCTTCTTTCCCAATATCATGCATCAAATTTGGGGTCTTTGAGTTTAATATATTTCGCTTATTGATACCTAATTTCTGATTCTTAACTGTAAAACCCTGATTTCCAAACATTGTGTTTGAAATCGGGAGATCTAGTTTATTTTCTGTCTCTCTTTCAGTGTTCCTGCCTACAAGATTAGACTCAGTTTACCAAAGTAACCTTCTACAGAAGGAAGGCTGATATGCATTTCTTTCTGCCTTGACAAATCATTTCTATAGCTCATTTTAATATATTTCTATAAAAATTTATTCAAACGGGGTTTTGGGGTTTTGGGGTTTTGGGG